GGGAGTTCAGAATTCCCCCCCCCCTTTTTTTTTTTTTTGCCAAATTCTTCCTAAGTGCTAAGCCCTGACATATCAATAAAATGAAACTGAAGTGTTCTTGTGGCGCTTCCCTTCTAAGACAAGACTGGAGTAGAAGGCTGTCTCTACATATCCCTTCAATTTATCAGAAGGTTTTCATGCCAGCAATATTCCCAAGATCTTTTCTATGCTCTTCTCTTACAATCTTGCAAAATGCTGTCAAATTCTATGACTTTCCCATTTCCTACCAAACATTGTTTTTATTAAGTGCATCCTTTCCAGCTGTTCCCTCATCTGCTTAATTCTATGCCATTCCTCATATTTCATCTATTTCATCCATTTTTATCTACGTTCAAAAATAATTATTGTTCTCACTTAACCCTCAGACCATCAAAAGTAGAAATGCAATTTTTCTCATGCAGTAATTCTTCATTCATAATCATCCAATCTACTTATCTATACCACTCTAAAATTACAATTAATTTAGGTGAAATAGCAAAGTAGGCTGCATATAACAATGCCAAAATGCCAGAAATCCACTTTCAATTTCCATCCTATCTGAATCTGTCTCCAGATATGAGTTTTTATTTAACATTCATTATCTGATGTGCCAGACACTGTGCTAGGTGCTATGGATATACACACAAAAATGAGAAGCATGGTTTAGTGGAAAGGGGGAGGGCTGCTCAATATTTACAGGGCAGTGTGATAAGTGCTATAGTCACATAAAACCACACAAGCAGGACTAGATTGTTGCACCTCATGAAGTCCAATGTTGACAGAGCGATGAGTCCATTTACTTAACTTCCAAAGTCCATGAATTCTTTGAATCCCCAATAGTCAAATACGTGAAATATTATTGCATTCTCTTAACTTATAAAGCAGTGTGTGAAACCATTACAGTTTGAAGTCTGGGGTAGGCTTCTGCATCCTGTTTTTATTCTAGAACCACTGGAACTCAACTTTTCCCACTATTGTATCTGACCTGTTCTTAGCAAAGGCTACCTTGACCTCTAATCCCTCATAAGCCCTCTTGCCAGGCCAAGGATACAATCAAAGCTGAACAGTGGTTACATCCCCATTGCCTCACTGGGATAATTTGGAAGCCTGAGGCCATGCAAACAGGATGACCCCAGTTCATTAAATTTGGTATTACTGAGAAATGATATTCTCTGGCAACTTCCTCACAATTCTCCATTATGACAAATAAAATCAGATCACCCTGTTTGTTTTTAATAACTTCTCCCACACACAGTAAGTCAAAGTCCTTTTCTTTATTCCAGAAGAGGGCATCCGCAATGAGGTAAACAGTTCCTGGAGATGCTCTACTAAGAAGGTGAATCCATGTCCATCTCTATAAATTTAAAATGCGAGTTCTGCTAGGTCTAATTTTCAAGGGTCCAAACTATCCACAGATATCTCTTTTCCCTCACAGATAATTTCCATTCTCTTGCAAAAATGCAGTAGGGGGACTGGGGGAGCTATAGAACACTCCCCTCTCTCCTTCCTCCATCAGTACAACTCCACCTGCAGTTCCCTGTTTGGAGGTATTTGTAGTTACCACAAACCTTCCAGAGTCTAGTAAAAGTCTTCCTTTCTCCAGATATACTAGCCTTTAACTGCCTAAAATTTCCTTATTCTTAAGTGCACAAATTACTTTAGCTTTTCGTTAGCTGACAAATCAGTACTAAACTTTAGGGGTAGATGCCTTTAAAGGCAACCATACAGATCCACCAGATCAGCCCTCCAAATGTGTCTCTTCAAGAAAATGGCAAGAATATTTAGAGTTCTGGGGTCCCTCCCAGCAAGAATTTCTTTTCTGTCCCTATTTCTACCCACTAACCTTGGCACTTGTTTTCAAAGTTCTTAGCAATATGCTCACCAATCTCCAAGCCCACAAAAACCAGCAGAAGACAACAGTTGCCAGTGTTTCTGCTGCTCTCACTTCTGGAAGTTCTCCATTCTTTAATGAACCTCTAGGGCTTTGGAGCACCACCAGCAGGGCTTCTGGCTGACTGCAAAAAGTACAGGTTGGGGCTTCCTATGCTGGACTGCCCTGGACGGAGAGAATTCTGCCCAATTTTCTGAAATCTTTCCTCAATCAATCTTTACCCTAAATACTGGACAACTAAGCCCTCTAGCCTCAGCACTTTCCCAGCTCCTCACCTAAACCTCAGTTAATTGCCAATAAAAATTACAATCTCTCTAATGCCAGTGAAAATTTAATGAACTTAGGCACGCTCATTTTATGACTCCTAATTATTCAAACTGCTCTGGGGTTAGGGAGTAATTGCACGAGGGAGACAAAGAATAATTAGAATTTGTAATGATGAACATGCTAATAATATTGATTTGATCATCACATACTGTACACAAATACTGATAGTCAACTCTGTACCCCATAAACATGTATAATCAAAAATAAATAAATAAAATGCTCTGGAAAGCATGAATGAAGTCTTTAATTCTTCGACTCAGTATTTTCAGCTCTGGAAAGCTAATGTGGAGAAACAATCCACGGTTAAATTATAGTAAATCCACTCAAAGTGCATTAATAGCAGACTATATAGGGACATGGAAAATTTTGCCTCAAAAAAAAAAAAAAGACTAGAAAGAAATATCTTACAACTACAATCGCTGTTGTATTAGTATTAAGGGACCCTTGAAGCAGTAATACCTCCATCAAATATGATTTATACTTTGTGATTTATTACATGGTTTGATTTTTGCAGTAGTAGAAGAAAACTGCATCAAGCTAAATTTTCCCATCCCTATCCCCACAGGATTCAATAAAACCTCTGTCAAATGAAATGTCAACACATTCAAAAATATTTCCTACTAGAAATTCTCAAAGTCTTGTACCCCAAGATATTAAGCACCTATTTACGTGTCCTATATAGAGGGTTTCTCCCACTTATCCTTATTAATAACCCTGTGAGGAAGTCTCACGGTCTTAATTTTGCATTTGAAGAAACAGCTACTCTGACATATGAAGTTACTGTCCAAGGTCATACAGGGGTGTAGGAGCCAAGAGTCAAACTGGTGGTGTTCTTAGGGTATTTCTAGTTCCTTAAACAAAAGCTAAATGTCATCATTCATACTCTGAAACTGCTGTCATATCAAATTGACACGATCAGTGTCACTCAATACTCAAGATCTTTCCTATGTCCTATCCCAGATCCTGGTAATAATAATCACCCTGTTCTCCGAGTGTGAACTGCACGTTATTAGAATGTTTTCACGAAATCACAAGATGCCCAAAGCTTCGCATAACAATGGACTGTCACGAAAAGAAGGGGGGCTGGCTGTCCCACTAAGGCCCGAGGGGGTTCCCTTCCCGGTCACCGGGCCGAGTCGGCTCTCTCACAGGGCCACGTGGGAAAGCGTGGGCATTCCAAAGCTCGTGGTGGTGGCCGCGCTCGGCGCCCGGGTCACAGAGAACCTCGCTGCGCGGGCCGGCGCCGGTCCCCGCAGCCCTTACCTTGAGAGTCTCGTAGGCAGTCGCCACCAGCAAGAAAGCCTGCTCGGCGCTCTGCGGCGTCCGCCCCGGGCCCTCGTCGTCGGGCTCGGGCCGGTAGCGGTCGGGGTGGTAGCGCCGGGCCAGCTGGCGGTAGGCCCGCGCGATCTCCG